AACGAACGGCACAAGAAAAGGTCCTAGCCCGAGAAACCACTACCGAAACTGCGCAACCGCCTATACAGTAGCCGAAACCGAGCCCCGAGCCCTTCCCCCAATCGTCCCACCCCCAACCGAGAGAAAACGGCCAACTCCCAGCAGCCCCTCCTGAACCCGTCTAACACCACTAGCCGAGCCCACGAGAAACCAGGTCCCAGACCCCACCGCCTAGCACCACTAGCCGAACGGGGACGGGGTGAGATGGCACGATTCCTCAACCCCGAACGCCGCAGCAGCCGGGACCTCGCCCCGTCCTCAGATCACACACCACCAAAGCCATCACAACCCCGACGACCAATAGCCCAACACCACCGGAATTTCCACCGAAACAGTAATTCACGACGTTGACAATCGAAGCCAGAGATAGTGAAATAGAGGGCTTACCATCCACCATCGAAGGTCCGCCAACGACCGGGAAGCAGGGCAACCCAAAATTGACCATAATCCCACCATGAAGACTGGACCTCCACACACTAACCCGCCATCGATTGAGAGCCATATCTCACCAAGCTGCAACAATTTCCGGCGCCGAAGGTCCAGAGAGGGAGGAGCGGTTAGGGGCGACCCCTGGTCGAGCCCCGCCGGTGCCAAGGGAGGCAAATCGGCGACTTTTTTTGCGGTGGGCTAGGTTAGGATTTCCCCCCCCCTTTTTTTTCGCACAGAGAGAGCGTTCCTTAATCTTTTTAAAATGGCGTGATTTACGTACATCAATTTATAATAATATAAATTACAACTTGATGTAATAAGTTTGTTATTATAATACTAAAAACTTTTGTAACCTTATTAATTATTTATTTTGGACAGTTTAAAACGTTTAAAAACTAACTATATAGAATTTTTATAATTAGATAATAGATTAGCAAAAAATATATATTTATTGACTAATTATATCATTCATATTCATTTTTACAGGTAGTATGATGTCATTTTCTATTAATGGACCGTCTTTTATTGCACAACAAAAAATAATGGATCGGGCTATGTTTTCTACCAATATTAGAGTGTGTTGAATACTCCTCCTCGCCTACCATTATCTAATGTCACAAATGGTATATTGTTATTCAATTCGTAGTTTAATTGCAAATATATAAATTACTTAGTATTTTTTTTATCAATTAATAGATTGCTTAGTATTTAATTATAACTGGTAAATCATTTTTAATTTGCTTAATAATATCTTTTAAACGTTTGTTACATATTTATTTTTGGAAATGCCTATTCAGCATGGAAATTTTAATATATAAGTCATTGTGTTTAAACAATAAATGTACATTTTTTTATTTGTATTATTCATTATTATTAATTTGTTTTTGTTGTTACATATATACTCATAATCTTATTTTTATGCAATCGTTCCTGAACTTTTATAAATAATTTTGAATAGGTAAGATGGCAGAATCACAAATAGTTCTATTTAAAAAGGGAATAACACGACGTTAGGTAGTGGAAGTAGAGGCATTGTAATCGACATCAAAAGTGATGACGAAGATGAACTGACTATCCTCTTCCACAGCCCGCATCAAAAAACTTAGAGCATCGTTGTATGACTATATTGAATTAAACTTGATCAATTTATGTTTTGTTCATTTGGGAAATGTTGTAAGTATTTTTACCGGAGTAGAATCGAAAGATTCGACACCGGGTCGTATCGCAAGGGAGGTTAGCCGGATTATTAAGCACGTTTACTCAACACAATTAGAAGAAATAAAAGAAATAAAATTCCTAAACATTCTAAGTCAAATAATTGGATGGGTTTTTTTTAGCTATCAACTACTGCAAATAACTAAATAACGCAGAGAACGTAGTAAGCAAGGACGAAGATCAATTATGATAAAAGCGCTAGGGTATCGGGGATTTCGCTTCCGGTTCACAATGCAT